GTGGATTTCAATGCATAAATGCTCAATCTTTTTACTCCTTGACATGCATGCTCTGTGGAAAATGTCCACCTTGCAATCTGCATGGAATAAACAATATTTCCTTTCTAAGACTCTTTGTTTGTTTTTAGGGAGTTCCTAAAATCAGCATCATTATAGGACATCCAGAAGAGATAACAGAAGAACTTAAGACTGTTTTCATCCATATAGTGGGACAGTCCCAGCACTAAGGTGAGGGCCCCAAGCAACACAACATAGATATTTTTTGAATTTCACTACTTTTCAGGGCTGTATAAGAGAGAGGTTAATTTCCAAGAGTGCAGTGTTGCAAGCACTAAGTTCACATCAGAAGAAAAGAGGCCATGATTTGCTCATTTGTTCATTTTGTTATTTCTTCTTTCACCACATCCCCAATCACCCTGCAGAGGTGTTTCTGAGAGTGCTGACTGGCAGGTGTGTTCCTCTGAAAATATAGACATGCTGCTGTCATCAGGTAATCCATGTGCCAAAATGGAATGCTATTTTTAGCTGCAGTTCGAAATGCTCCTCACTTCTCAAGAGCTAGAGGTTTCTTCTTCTTTCACTAGAACATGAGAAATATGGGAAACATCTAGGTTTTTTAAGGATATACTGAAATTTACTTGGGACATTAGACTGGTATATTAGAACCCAGGGAGTTCCCTAGTAATTGAGATTTACTTAAAGAGTTCATTGTAGATTTAATCATTTGCCTTATGTCCATAATAAAAGGTAATAACTGGTGAATTCCTTCATTATTTCACACACTTTTTATCTTTTTTTTCCTCCATAAGCGAAAGGAAAATTTTTATGATGCTACAAGAAATTGTTTCTATTAGACTTTGCATAAGATGTTGATCTGTGTGTGGGGACATGCCTATTTTATATCCTGTCTGTTTGGAGATTGATTGGTCCAAAGATTCAGTTAAGCACCAGGGAATTATATAAGAAATCTGAATCTAGATGAGTAAAATCACAATGATGAATTAGTCAGAAACCATGTTTTTTAATTACTGACTAGAATGACACACCCCTCAGAAGTATCCTAGATAAACATCCACTCAGGCAGCAAAACAAGGCTGTACTCCTCTCTGCATCTGCCTGGAACCATATCAAAGAACCTCCAAACAGCACTAGCAATTTGTTATCCTTCATTTAGGAGTTAGTTTCAAACCTAAGATGTAACAATAACCAGGCTTTTGATTTAGTGGCATTATCACCACTTCGGAAATTTTGCTGTCAGGTTGCAAACATTCCATCTTTTACATCTGCAGACAGAAACTGAGCACTTGGAAGGGTCTGCAATGCCTAGGCTGTGTTTGATCTTCTCTCCAGATCCCAGCAATGTCTATTTGTAATGTCTATCTTGTGGAAGAGATTTTTAATAATGGTATTCAGTAATCTGTTATCTTTTCCACCCATCTCTGGTTCTGTTCTAAGATTACAAGATTATTTTACCAGGGCACCTCTACGCATTTTTCCAGCACTCAATCTTAAGAGGTCTTTTCTTGTACTGTTTAACCTTTAGTTGCTCTGCATGCTTGATGCCTTGTACTGTCCAGAGAATGCTAAACCTGGTATAGGTTCTTTTTTTTCCAGTCTACCTGTGAACTCTGATCACTTTTCCTTAGATGTTTGGTTATCACTTTCCTTGGAACTGACATCCATTTGTTACTGAGTTTTTACTTTAGTGTTTCACTGCTCTGAACATACAAAGGACTGAATGTGCCCCTTTCCATCTAAAACTACTTTAAACCTTCACGTTGACTACAAGAATACTGTATGACCAAATGGGACATGAGGTAGAGAGACTGGAGACACCTTCCACACCTCCATTTATACTTCCTGGATGGAATATACATTATATCAGTTTTAATAACTCTTCTCTCTGTTCTAAGGCTGTAGCAACTGTAGGCCTTGAGTAATTTTTATATGCATTTCATCCTAAAACTTTGAAGTTTATCAGCAGGGTACAATGAATATAGAAGTTATCAACAAACTCTATCTCACTTTTTTTTTAATTAGGTACTCAAAATATGCTGATTTTATTAGGTACTCCTGACATATGCTCTCACTTTAATTCAATTTCCCACCTTTAAATGTTTGGCAAAGCAAAAGAAGAAAGAACAATAATTTAATGGATGATAGTTATGCATCCCTCTGATGGACAGCTAGTAAATTCCTAAATTAAAGTTGAACTAGTTGAGATCTTGGTTTTTCTCCCTGCTCTCATCTAAAACTAAATTCTTTCCTCTTTCGCCCAGCATTTCTTTTCTCTTCAGAATTCATTCATTTTCTACCATTTGCACTAGGTGGGAAAAGACCAACTTAGCCTCTGACTTGAGGCTGTAATTCAAGCCAGAAGTGGATGCCCTTAGATAGAAAGTAAAGAACTCTAGAACACATCTTGAGAGAATGTTCTTGAACCACATTATTAAAAAACACAGCGAGATAGAGTTTGTTGATAACTTCTATNGTGTTTATTTCTAATGCAAAAAAAGGCTTCCTTTTTCACCTCTACAAGCCTATTTTTATTACAGAATAGAGCATTCCACAAAATAAAAGTTGTTACCAAGTAAAGACAGTGCAGACTGGACATGACTTGAATTTACCACTATCTACATATACTAGAGAAATAAGACAAGGAGACGTTTAGCTCAGAAGAAAGTAACTTAGGTTAGCTGAATTGTTTTGCAAATTTACATTTAAACTTACAAGTGTACAGCAAGTCTGATGCTTTGATCACCTTCATCACATACACTGAAATTTGACCAATTCCTAGGCACCATTAATTACGTTTTCTACTGACTCTTTACACCACTGACATGACCTTTTCATTTGTACATGGAAGCTAATCCTAACCAAAGATCAATATTTCTATTTGTTAGAAGCATTACTGCTGAGGGGGAGGGAGATCCCAATTCAGATACAACAACAAGATGCTCATGGCAAGAAGCAGACACTTAGTAATGCAAATGGACAACTTGACACAGTTAATGGACCACATTTTTCTTTCACAGGAGAAACACTGAGGTAGAAATATTATAAAATAAAGGCCTTATAAAATCAGGCCTTGCTCTGATGAATTACCAGCTAGCCTGTAATTTCCCAGAAGAAAAAAATTAAAGGAATGAAAAGTCAGTTAAATATGGGTTTTCTTACTATTCTAGTAAGAAAAATAAGTTTACACCTGCATAAACAATAGATCTGTCCCACAACAATCAGTGAAGAAAATATGTAAACAATCCAAAAATAAAGAGATTTGAGAGACAGATAGAATGCCAGTTACTAACCAGTGAATTAAGTAGCAAGAAAACTACTAGGCAATCAGAGTAAAACCCAGTCTTTGAAAACTCTATAAAAATGAGTGATGTGAATACAGAACTAGCTTTTCCTAGATGAAGTAACTGAGTCTCATCTGCTTTATTTCAACACAGCAATGCTTCAGTAAAAATACAGACAAAAGCAACCAGGACCACAGAGCAGAATATACTTTGTCTCCTGTCTTCTGTCTCTTCCTGATTGTACTGAGTCTGGCTGGGATGGATTAATTTTCCCACAGCAGCTTTCATAGGTCCATGGGTAGCTGGAAAGGTGTTGTTAACACACCAGTGCTTTGGCTACTGCTGAGCAGTGCATACACTGATACAGAGTATCAGCGCTGTCTCTCAACATTCCCCCCACAGCAGATTGGGAATGCGTAAGATCCTGGGAGGGGACAAAACTTGGCCAGCTGACCCAAACTGACCAAAGGGATAACTCATCCCATATGGTATCAGCTCAGATATAAATGCAAGGGAAAGGAGGAGCAATGGGGAATTGTTATTTACAATGTTTGCCTTCCAGAGCAAATGCTATGTGTGCAGAAGACTCACTTCACAGGGAAGCAGAAAATAAACCAATTTTTTCCCTCTGTTTGTGCATGCCTAAACTTCTGCTTTAACAAAATTGCCTTATCTCCACCTAAGAACTGTTTTTCACCTTAATTCTTCTACCCTGTCTGGCTGGGGAGTGCTGGAGCAGCTTGGTGGGCACTTGGCATCCAGCCAAAGACAACTGTTAACCCTAGCTTTCTTGTTTCTCATTTTTAGTTTGAATGCTTCACAGAAAAAAATACAGTAACCTTCAGGTATTCAGTTCTGGAGTTCAATTCTGGAGATATCCAAAATGCCAATACAAATCAGTATTTATGAAACAAAGATAAGCTATACTCTTCAAAGAGCTCAAAAATCAATACATTTTCCTCATTTTAACACTGAAAATTATCAACCAGAAGGGAAGCCATCCTAGAGATTTTCAGTAAAAATACTGGTCTTCATAGAGGATGACTGCTAAATGTGAGTGCACACAATAGCTTCTGAACAAACCACAGCACAAAGATTAAAATAATGACTTGAATTGCTAATGAAGGCCACAACTGACACCAGTAAAACTGGTAAACATTGATGAATGTGTTGTTTAAATCAAAACAGTAAGACCTTCATTCTGCTAAGAATGGCAGCAAGGTTACAACATACTCTATATGCCATTCTTCCTCTTGTTATCAGAACAGGAAGACAAATTGTATCCATAAATACACCAAAGATTACATCATAAAAACTCTTTGATTTACAAAAGACAAAAAGGATTTGTTGAAAAATTATCTCACTGTTGCAAATTAAGAAATATGACAAGAAGATACCAAGGCCTTGCAGCTCCTCAGCCTCCACACTGAGCCTAAGTAACCCTGGAAAGACTGCTTGTATGCAAGTTTGATAACACAAGCCAATTGAACAGGTGAAAGTAGCATGACTTATTTAAAATAAGGCATTTCCCTTTCAGAATGCCTTGCATTTAGTAAAAAAATTCCTGCATAATTTTAATGATTTTAAGTCAGAGTTTCAATGAATTTACTGATCCAAGTTGAGCAGATTTTATTTACTTATCAGATTTTTCTGATGTCCAGATCCAGTATTTCTAAGGAAAGCTGATACAAAGCAAGAAACTTACATGGACTGTATTATGAATGCAACATTTAGTGAATGCAAGACACATTGGCACGTTACAGCATGTGCAAAGTTTTTAGATTAGCTTAAATGAAGCAATATGAAGAACAAAGCTTACCTGAGCTATTATGGACAGAATGCCCACCACAGCTATAAATGCTGCAATGCTAGCAGATCCAAAGCCTATAACCTGTAGAAAAGCAGAAACTGCATAAAACAAATGCCAAACACTGCCAATCCAGGGCAATTAGTAGCAGCAACTATCTTCTCACTGAAAACACTCATCCCTACTTATACTCTAGATTTATACAGGATCCATACAGGAAGTGTCCACTTTCAAGAATAATCCTTAACTTGACTCTTTGCCAAGAAAAGTATAAAGGAAAAAAAAAAAAAACTGCCTTAAAAAGAGGATACAGAGGAAGTCATGTAGCTGGAAACTTAAGTTCTCTATCCCTCCAACAAACAAAATGGGTCTGACAGACAAAATCCCACCTCAAGCCAGAAATTGATGTACTGAATGAGAGCAAAGGCCTGCTTGAGGTAAACACGCACTTAAGATATTGCAGGGTTTATGCACCAGGAGTCAAGGGTTATGCAGTTTTTGGCTTAACAAAGCACCCTGCCTTTAATATTAAAGCTTTACTTTGTCAGAAAGCAGGTGCCTGAGCAAAGTCTGTAACAAGAAAGAGGTCATAATGAATACTTATTTAAACATCCTTAGTAAGATGTGAAGACACTAACATTTACCTGTCTCAAGTACAGAAAGAAACTAGAATACTGGCCAGCCTCAGGCAGATATGAGAGCAACACTGTAATGCAGATTGGGAGAACTGTAGGATCTTTCCTAACCTTCTTCAGAGACTGTAAAACAAAAGAACAAAGCAGGTATTGAAACATTTGTACAAACTCTAATGAAACCATAAAGAAAGAAGATAGATTCCCTTTTTTTGTGCATGCATACAAATCAAAACAATTACACATGGATACTGTTAAGCTGAACCATAAGTCACAAACAATACAGTCTGGGGGAACCCAATTCTTTGATAAAGTTTCCATTAATATTTTTGAAGCTGTTCAGTGCCAAGTAAGAACAATTCCCCAAAACCAGCAATATACAAGGGAAATACCTAATGTCTTCTAATGGATCTCCATAATAATAATTTGTTTTGAAAGATACTAGCAAGTAATATACATTTCTTACACTTGTTCACCCATTATGTTAATTATTTTAAGGAACAAATAAATTGTGGAAGACTATTTCTGCAGCTGCAGCCTTTCAACCATGCCATTCATCTCTCAAAATTCACAAGCAGTTCCCAGCAGGTCAGATCTCACAAAGAAAAATCACTCTTTCCTTTCTTAAGATACCAGGGTGTAGCAAAAACATAAATTTAAGTGTGAGTAAGTAAACAAGTTACTACAAAGACTGCACGGTATGTTTTAGCCATTACTATATATACCTATTAAAAAAAAAAAAAGAATCAGGCTTTATAGATCCATTCCCTATTACTATTAGAAAGAGATCACATATAACCAAAAGTGGAAATCAAGAGTAGGGAGAGATATTGCTCTGGTAGGAAGAGATTCAAAATTAGTATATAAAACCTTAAAATATTGGCTTTTGAGGTGTAAGAATTCAGCATTTCTCTCTGCAATAAAATAGAGTACCTAAGTTAGAAAATTAAAACACTGTCCCTTTGGATGTCACACCAAACCTTATTTTCAAATCCAGAATTATTTAATCCACAAAGTTTGGTTTGATTTTGGTTTTTAAATGTAGTTAGATCTCTATGGGCAAAAGCAGGGAACAGAGACTATGGTATACTGAATAGTGAAACTACCAGTGAGACTGAAGATTTCTCAAACTTACAAACTGCAACTAATAATTATTACATATTAATCACCAAATAGTTAATAATTACTTATTGAAGCGCATCTTACTGCAAAAGGATCTGCCTGTTCCCATGATATAGAAGATCCCCATGAAGCAGGTCTTATTTTTTCCGGCAGAGATTCTGGTACAGCTAGCAGGATGAAGCAGATGTCCACAACAGCCACCAGCGTGGCCACCATTACAACCACACTATCCCCATAGCTGGCAGACAGGTATGCTCCAATGGCAGGACTAGTTACCAAACTTGCTGCAAAGGTGGCAGATACCTATGCACAACAACAGTTTACAAACTCATCAAAGTGGTTATTCTCCCATTACAGAAAAATTCAGTAACTTGCTTACCACCACCACTCCTCCCCAGAAGTGTGATTTTAAAAAAACACCAGTAAAAATTAAAATAAAAAAGTACATTAACAACATACCATTTACAACAGTAAATATGAGTCCCAAGTACAGTTTCTACAGCCTCCTTAACAGCGCACCATACTAGACAGGATTTGCAATGCAAGATGATCAGGTTTGGCTCTTACTTTCAAATGGACTAGAATCTTTATTTTGTTTTCTAATTACGAAGTGACTTGACTTAAAAAGTTGTCAGTACATTTAAATGCCTGCCTAAAAGAAGTTCAAAATTATAGATGTCTATCAATACACCTCCAAAACCTAATACAGATATTAGGAAAGCAAACTAAGCAGGAACTGTATTACCACTGAAAGGACTAGTTTTTACTAACTAAATTATTTTCCTTGTGTTTTGATCATTAAGTTCATGTCTAAGTTCTTAAAAATAGTGTTTTATACATTTTCATCCTTACTCACCATTCTGACATTAGAAAAGGCTATTCTGTACCAAGAAGTCATATGAACTAGAAGTGCAACTTACATGTGCTGGAAAACTATTGCTAGACTAAATTACTTGCATTGTCTTTAACATTTAATGTTTTGTTCGCAAAACTTAAAGACATTCTTTCTTACACATGCCCTTTATTCAAGTTGTCAAATATTAATTCTGTTCCCATAAGCACACAGCACTCTGTTCACTGCCTGAACTCTAACACAATGTCTTGAGCCATGGTTCCTTCCTTTATCAGCCTCTTTATATTAATCAGGAAACAAGCTGTACATCAAAACGCAAATTCAATACAAAGGTAATAATCTGACCTTTTCCCCCAAACTAAGCATCTCTTACCAGTCCGTAGGCTGTAGTTCTTTCATGTTCTTGTGTTACATCAGCTACATAGGCAAATATTACAGAAAAGGTAACAGAAAAGATTCCAGATACTGAAATCATAGCGAAGTACCACCTAATAATTTAAAAGCAACAATTAGAAAGTGTGAGCTAAGATCTATTGCTTTTTTCTTACTAATAAGCAAGTTTGTTTAAGCCTAAGAGGAGAGCTCCTTGAGAACTAACACAGAACTTTACTGGAGATGAATGAATGACTGTGCAGTCTCACTTAAATACTGGAAAACAGCATTTTAATTTTTTTTTATATTCTTCTGTTTACTTCAGCCTAAAAGAAGAAGTACTTGAGGATGTGGTACCTATAGAATTTTAAACTCTCAAGTTCAAGTAATGAAATATGAACTATCTTAGAAGTAATTTCATCAGCCTGTTAAGAAATCATATATATAATTAACATATATATAATATGATATTTACATATATATATATAAAAAATGCTGTGGAAGCTGAATTCTGAATGCATTCAGAGTGTACAAAAAATTCTTTTGTAATTCTTCCCAAGTTTCAAAATTAATGTAAATGCAACTGAAGTATTAACTGAGCAGTAATGACTTGGTTTCAAAGTCCTACTCACAGAGGTAAAATACCTCACTTGCAACAACTAGACTTTTCTTCAGCAAATAAATGCTAAGGTTCATTCAGCTTTAAAAGCATATTTATTACTTTCAATGACCAAGGGAAAAACTTAACAGCTGATCTTAAAACAGAGTTAGACAGAATTATCAAATCAAAATGCTTTAGTTGTATGAATATAGTTCACATTCCATTATTTCTGCTTTTAGGATACACAGTTTTAATACATCTTGAACAGAAAAGCTCCAGAATAATGCAGTTGTGCCTTGAAAGGAAATCTGCTTTCTTCTTATTTTCATCTTATTGTCCCTCTCCCATTTCCCCAAACATCTCCTCTGAATATCTGCTCTCCTGACAAGCTTGCTACTGCAGCTTGCAGCACTTACCATGGGCTTATTCGCATTAATGGAATTGGGACACAGGTGAAGAAAACTGTAAGAAGAAGAAAAGATTTTCTTCCCCAAGCATCTGAGAGAGCACCTATTAGTGGAGCACTGAGAAATGACAAAAAACCCTGTGACAGAAGAAAAACAATCAATATGTCTGTATCTACATTTCCAAGGCTCACCTTAATTACAATATAAAAAAGGAATAAAATTGAAAATTTATTTGAAATTGAACACATTAGTTGTAGATAACTGAAAATTTACACACTTCATTCTACAGTCTAATTTTCTGCGATTTTGATATTTCATGTTTCAAATCTATTAAACCTGAGTGAATTAAAAAAAAAAATGTTTTTCAAGATCCATTTGATTCAATATAGAAGTAATACAAACAGCAAAATCTTCTTTAAAATCTCCAAAATACAGTCAAGTTATACACAGGACATTATCTTAGCCTCTACAAAGAGGCTCAGTGCTATATTTCACACCCAGGTCACCCTCTAATTTGGACTGTCCTAGGAGAGAGCTTTGGGTAACATTACTGCTCTCTGAAACAAATATAACAATTTAAATTAAATTAAACATTTACTGCTCTATACTACATACTTATCCTGTACAGTACATCTGTACAGTGCAAGAACTATGAAGATCATTTGAACAAGTCTGGCAACTTGAGATCATGGGACACCATAATGAGATCCCCGTGGTGAAGGTCAGACTCAGTGCACAGTGTTCAGTTAAAAAAAAAAATTGACTAAGGATCAAATACTAGATTTCCCAGACTTTCATGAATCTAGGCCTAGAATCTAGGCCTCAAATCCATTTTATTACACAGGAGAATTAAAATAAGTAAAGGATTTCACGGGTTTGTTAACAGAGGAACAGCTCCTCCTAATTAGTACATTCTTCATTTATCAATCCAACTGTGCCACAAGTCGAAACATACTGAAATACCTTGGAAGTTTGCTCCAGCTAACTTTAGCCTACCTCTCTTATTCAAATATTGTCACAAGTTTAACATATGCATACAGACTGCTATACTAAGTAACTGTTCTGCCAAATCCTTACAAACAAAACTGATTTTCAACGTTTTCAGAAAGAGAGCAAAAGCTGTAAAGCCAGACTACCAGATTGTTGGAAACTTAGATGTCTTACTCAGTTGAAATTAGTGTTTCTGCTCCTTAGAATCAACTTTCAGTGGCACAAAAATTAACATGTTTTGCTATGAAAAATACTTCCCATGTTCCACAAACAAAATTTTAAAGAAGAGAGACACAGAAATACAAGCTCTTTCTACTCTTTGATTGCTCATTTATTAGACCTGTTAGAGCAATCCAGACATTCATTACATTACTGCACTTTTCTACAGATATGCTCTGTACAAAATCTATGGGAATCCTCTATTTACTACTTTTAATACACAGTTACATTGCACTGTAAGTGAAAAACTTAAAACAGGAAGAGGAACATGAACTTTGTTTTGTATGAGAACAATGAGAAGATAACTTCCTCTTTCAGTCTGAGACAAACCAACATCCTGAGTGCACTGTGCTCTGCCAATCCACCATGAAAGACAGCAAGTCTATCCTAAAGATGTAACATTCTTACAACTAAAAGCAATACTTTAGATTTGTTACGGGACATAAAGAAAAGTAATTTCTGAGTGCTATAAATTACCTTAGTTCTAAGTTACAGCAAGGGCTTTGCAGTGTCTCAATACAACAGTTATCAAACAGTTATCAAAGAGAACTTTTCATTAGTTATGCTAGAAAACTCTTGCAAGCTTTTTTGTGGCCACAATCCAGCATAACCCCTGTGTGAATGCAGTGGTCTAAGTAAGCTATACAAGCTGCCCTGAACATCACAGAATGTTCTAGAGTGGATTAAAAAAAAAAAAAAAAGACCAGGAAATATAACAAACCTGATGAAAATTAGCTCTTATGCCACATTTTACATTATAAGACAAAATCACAGTGATTGAGTGCTTCATTTTCTATCACAATGGTATCATTATGATTGCATTAATTTGTCTCTGATATAAATCATTTAACATTAGGAAGCAGACAATAAAATAGCTTTATTCTCAGACAGATCCTTATCAAAATTACAATAGCTACAAGTGGTATCTATTCAAATGAGAGGAATTTAAATTTCTGAGAAAAATTCCACTTGTCTCAAGATGCTGACACTTCTGCAGTAAAACTTAAATTCAGCCCAAGAAACAACTACTACAGTAAAATATGGCTTAAGAATTAACTAAATTCTCAGTGGTTTGTATGTTCTTATAGAAAATGCAGGTGAGACAAGTCAAAATACAAGAACACAGGATATTCAGGTCAGAGATTTAAAAAACATCTTACCTTAACACCCTGAATAAGACCATTCATTAAAAATGTATGAAGGGGAAATGTTTCATGTAAGACCTAACAGGGGGGAAAAAAGCAGTTTTTAATAAGGAGAGACAGGAGAGAGTTGATTCCAAGTTTAAAATTGATTTATAAAACAGGATAGCTCTATGAGAACTTGTTAAAACTATCCAAAAATAAAAACAAAAGGGAAAAGCCAAACCAAAACAACACCAAAAAAAAAACCAAACCAAACCAAAAACCCTGGAATAACCAGAACGAAAGTATCTTCTACCTCTTTTTTGTCTTCACTAGAAAATATAAACAAGATTTAATATCAATTTATCAGCATAAATTCATAGGAATTTACTACTGGCAAAGACTGTAATGCGGAGATAATTACTTTGGGACACTTTGCTTAAAAAGAGGATCAGTGTAACCAAAAACCACCTCCATGCAGTAAAAATGACAAAATTTTTATGTAGTTAATTCTACAAAAAGGTTGACTCAAACACTGTCAATATTTAAGAGTGAAAATGGGATTCAGCTAACTTACATTGACAAGGAAAAAACAGTGCTATTTTCACAACTGACCACACAGCAGCTATTAAATAGCAAGATGGTTAGGAACATTTCAAATTAATAAGTAGATGCTTACAAATACCAGCAAGAGTTTTGAGTGCTTAAATATAGCTACAAATTCATGTAAGGTGCTTTACCAGCAGTCTTAATTCAAGGGCAAGAATGTTAATCTATGCTAAACAGATTTGCCATAAATATGCAAGAGAGTTTAGGGGCCTCACAGGTATTACCATGTTGGCTAAAAAAACTTATTGTGATATTCAAATTGCCACCAATCACAAAAGTTACTTTGTGTATACTGAGAAAGTGTCACTGAAAAGTATAAGCATTATTTTTTTAGAAAGACTGAGATTCTCGGTTCATAGGTTTAATCAAAGTGGTGGTTCTCTTACTAATTACTGGGCAGATAACTCTCCTTATTTACATCACTTTTCACTTCTGGTATCATCTTTTGGTTAGGTATTTAAAACACTTTTTCACCTGTCAGAAAACTGATGTTATGAAATGAGGAAAAAAAAGGCCAGGATTCAAATTACAGATCTAAAATTAGAAGTCTTCTAACTTAAAGAAAACAACAAAATGAAACAAAAATATGAAACTCAGAGTTAAATCTAATTACTTGTGAATTGTTTTCCAGTGTTTTTTTTCTGAGTGGCAATCACTGCTGATATTAAGTTTGAGTTTTTTTATATTCATTTATTGCTTTATAGACAAGAGAAATGCAAGCTGACAAACTGCTAGAGCAAACTGCTTTACTCAAGTTCTACCAATAGATACATATTCAAAACATATATATATTGAAGAGAGAACATATCATTAATTAATACTGCTTATGGTAATTTACTAACATTGGTTTAAAGTCTATAAATAAAAATAATGTCCATAAGCTTTGGGCATTTTTTGACTAGAATAGCCTTTGTGTGTTTTACAAACACTTTAAATCTTTTCTTCTCCAAGTATAGTGTCATGTAACAAACAGTACAGCTTTGCTGAGAGATGTCAAAATAAGTGAAAAAGGAATTTAAAAAATGAACTTTAAATAATCTCAGCTATCAAAAATACACATAATTTTTTTTCATAGAATGCAATATTTTAATTAAATTGAAAGTTGACAATGACCTACAGAATCATGAAAAAACCCACACAAAATTGAGTAACCCTGAGCTTTGATCAACAGACCAGACATTTCCATTTCTGCCCCTCCTACCTGACAAACCTGCTTGAGCAGAAGTGGATAGCTGTCAATTCAATTATAAAAACCTAACAGCAGACATTCAGCGTTTGCAAAGCTGATTACAAATAAAAAAGATCAACTATGGACCTATTCCAACTGGAGTATACTACTGGGCAACTACTGAAGAACCCACCTAATATACAGTTGTATTAAAATTGGTGGGAGTTTGCAGATCTGTAAGAATTATGATTTGCACACTTATCCTTTTAAATGAGAAGTGTCAGGTTAAGAAAAAAAAGCAAAGAGAAATAAAAGATAAGAAAGATGATCCAGCAAGTTTCCCCATATTTTGACACTGGTAATGCAGGATGACAGGACAGTTATTTTGTAAGACAACTGCTTTGTGGAAATTGTTAACTGTTTATGCAAACTTTTTTATTAACTTCTATTAATTTTATTAAATTAAGAAATTCAGTGATTGTGTTTAGAAAACTTAGGCCAACACATTCCAAGAGTTATGTACATTATCTTATTTGGAGTTTGGAGGAGGAAAAAAATTAACTCTTTCAACCACACAAAATTTTGCTTGCCATGTATTCAAAGTGGTCTCAAGCATTAGGCAATGAAAACCTGGACTAGTAGACCTCCTGCGATTGCTCACAGGCAGGCCCCACTAAAACTAACGAGATCCGTATCTTCAAATGAATGCTTCATATCCTATTACCAAGCACTCAAATTAACTGTTGATCTGGAAAGTAACCAAAGCAGATTAAATATGTATGAAATCCGTTTCTTACATGAATGGCTCTGCATTTTACTCTACGTTACATGCTGACAGAACAGTTGGCCCACAGGAGTATACATAGTTAATGAAGAGTTGCATAGTTTATTCAATTGTTACAATTGGAAGACTAATTGAACTATGAAGTCTTGAAAAAGCCAGAATTTCTAGAGATACTTCAGTCAATAGACTAAACTGGTGTTACTCTAAAAGACAAGTAAGAGTTAAAGAAGAGTACAGCAGACTTTATCTATTTTTCTTTATCCTCTAGTCTTTCAGCAGTCCAGATCGCAGCTGCTAAGACTTCTGGAATTCAGGTAATGAGATATGCATTTATGTAAAGCAAATTAAACTTCAAATCCCTAGAAATTAGCAAATTAACATATGTCAACACCAAGATAACAGCTGAGGAACTGTGATGAACTGATGCTTACCGTTAGCATTGGAGTTGTCAAGAGCCCCCAGGCAAAGAATTCTAGAAATATGACCACCACCGCATGGTATACGCTCGGCCGACCAATACCGTGTTGCTAAGAAAGAAAAACAAATGCAGTGGTTGTACACATCCAGTTCATTACATGTGCAAATATCTCTCTCGCAAACATGTTTTGAGCATAACCACTTTTCAGCATGACCTACTAACCAAGCCCTTGGGAACAACAATAAGCCAAACAAGGGAGGAGAAACTGTTCTGTATTACAAAACAATTAAAGATCTCTAGGGAACTTGAAACAGTTTGTTCCCCAGAACACCTGCTGACTGAAAAGAATTGTTGGCCCTATTCCTGACATTACCCTGCACTGCTTTCACCTCCAACATGCCTTTAGGCTTTCTGTCCCCTGAGCATTACTGACAACCCTTCCACAACAGAGTGACAAATTGTATGCCTCTCCCTTCTTCCTCCATAAGTGACAAGACACATACACTTTATTAAGATCACAGCATTGTTTCAAAAAACTATGGTAATGTTTTTATGCTCACAGGAGCTACAATTTTTGTATTTGAAAATGCCTAAGTATGAGAAAATAAGGACCTGCTTATCCTTGTCATCTGTACAAATACTTTCTGTTAATTGCTGATCAACTGATTCTATACTTGTGTCTGCAAATACAGACTGCTGACTGAGAAACTATTCTACTGGTCAACAAGTAATTCCAGAAAGAATTAGCAAACTATCAAAGTGCTCATGATTCTGTGAAACTGCTGCCATTCAAGATCAAAGGATTTGATCCCAGATGAGATTAATGAAATGGGCAGAACCCCTGGGAAAGGCATATTTAACAAGAAGTGCTGCTTGCTTGCTTTCTTCCCAAAAGAGATTTAAGCGGACGTGCTGAACCATCTAGTGGCCTTCACTGCAGTGAGAACAATGGTTGACAAGGGGGGACTGACAGATATAATTTAGATGGACTTCCGTAAAGACTTCAATGCAGCTCCATATGACACCCTTATCTCCAAAGAGGAAACACATGGATTTGAAGTGTGAGCTATTTAGTGGATAAAGAACTGGCTGGATGGATGCAGCCAGAGAGTTGTGCTCAATGGCTCTGTGTGGTGGAGGCTGGTGACGAGTGGCGTCCCTCAGGGCTCTAATCTGGGACCAGTGTTCTTCAGTGTCTTCACTGATGACATAGGCAGAGAAATGGAGTGCAGCTTCAACAAGACTGCAGATGACACAAAGCAGTGCAGTACAGCTGACACAATGGAAGGACAGGCTGCTATCCACAGAGAAGGGGACAAGCTTGAGAATTGGGCCCACTAGTATCTCATGAAGTCTAACAGGTCTGGGTGCAAGGAGCTGCTCCTGGGTCAGGGCAATCCAGACATGAACACAGACAGGAGAAGAGAACAGCCCTGAGAAGGACTTGGGGGTTCTTGTGGATGAAAAGTTGGACATAAGACAGCAGTGTGCACTCACATCCTAGAAGACAAATCACATCCTGGGCTGCATTAAATGAGGAGTCGCCAGCAAGTGAAGGGAGGAGATTTTTGATCCTCTATTCTGTCCTCAGGAGACCTCATCTGTAAAATTGTGTCCAGCTCTGGAGCCATCAGCACAGGAAGGACATGAACCTATTATACTGGGTCAAAAAGGAAGAGTGACTTTTTACATGGGCAGAATATGATAGGAGAAGGGGAATGCTTTTAAATGAAAAAAGGAGAGATTTAGATTAGGTATTAGGAAGAAAGTCCTTAATAAATAGTGAGGCATTGCATCAAGTTGCCTAGAGAAGTTGTGGACATTCCATACTTGAAAGTGCGAAAGGCTACCTAGATGAAAGGCTACCTAGATGAGGCCCTGAGCAACTTATATAGTGGGTGGAATCTTCTCCACTGGTGAAGAAATTACATTATTTTCAAGGTTCCTTCCAACCAAAAGCATTCAGTAATGTTTTCATTTCTGACTACCCCTTGGCATAGTAACTTCTACATAGTTTTTGTGTTCCTGCCCAGCTCCTAACAACTGTCCTTCAGAAGATTTTTTTCAGTATTTCCAGCCAATCCACCATTGCACTCCAACAGAAGAGTGCAATTTAATAATGCAGAATTCTGCTGAAGGGACACTATCCAGTGATAAATATCAACCTGATTCATTTCAGCAAGTGGAGAGCAGGGTGAACATGAAACTCAGGATCTTCCACTGAATGTGAAAGAAGTCAGCCTAGGATGAAGGTAGAGTACAGACACCTTTGGTGTTTCTCCCCTGCTCAAAAAACTTTCACCCAGATTGGTAGAAATCACATGTTTTGAAAATCCTTGCATTACAAGATTCATTTAAGCTGTCTATAGAAAAAAAAGTGAAGAAACTCCTATTGTTTAAACAGTAAATGCATAGATCTGTAAGAATTTTTAGATCTGTCAGTTTATCAAAACCTGTAGCAACAGTGTATCCTAGCTAATAAGATTAAATTCACTTCCTACATTGCAGCTTGCTTCAAAGCATGAAGATTTGAAGAAAACAGTTCTCTTTCTCCTGAGAAACAATATAATATCATAGATCAAAGATTATCTCTGGAAGGCTAATAACTTTCAAGTATTATTAACATTTCTCTGTACATTACCATGCAAGTTTTAATTTCGAAATAGCAAAGATTCCAAAGGCTATGGGAGTAAAAAAAAAAAAAACCAAAAAAAACCCTCCTTCATATAAGAACCCTGTAAGTACTTCTTACAAGATAATAGAATAACAATTTCATTGATTTTTTTTTGCCAAGATGCCTGTTGGTCAGACTAGCACTTAACACTAATTATACGGAAATCTGAAGACTCCTTCTACAGCAGTTTCCTCTGAAAAAAAGCAGATTTTACAGTAGAGTAAGTAAGGGACTCCCCAGACCTTCCCCTACCTCTACTTCCCTCATAACTTTCTATCACTAAGTGTGTTGCTGTATCATAAATATCTGGCCTGCATTTACCAAACATTTCTAATGCCATAAAAAATGAAGTTTTGTAGTTTTGTTAATAATGTTTTTATTACACGCAAATTTGATCTGAGATTTATATGGTTTAGCAGAAAGATGATGTACATACATACTCAAAGACATGCATGGAGATTAAAATAGTCTGGAAATAATTTCTGGCAGTATCATGCAGCTTAAAGTTAGCTGCACTGAACTACTTAAAAAACCAGAAAACACCACAGCCTTTTGGATTTATGCCATGACCTGGAAAACTAAAATTCAGATCCAAGATTCCGTTCAGAACGGAACATGTTCCTGTTAAAACTAAGACAGGTTTGAAGAATTCTATGTCAAATATACTAACACTACCGACCTGTGATCCACACTGACTGTAGGTGATGGTTTTCAGTTTTCTTTACAATGTCCTAAATCCCTAGATTAATTAAAAATCTTGTGCTAAAGGCTGCTTTGGAAAACAAAGATCATGAAACCAGGACAGCTCACTGACATCATATGGACTGATAAAGACAGTTAATTCTGAATGTTCATCTTTACTGTACTTCCCAAAAATTCCATCACAGAAGCTTCCAATTTTTAATCAAGCATCACCTATTTTTTAAGAAAAAAAAATAATTTATGATTGATCATGTATACAGCCTGGTCCACAGAATAAAAAAAGCAATGAAAACCCTTCACTTGGCTCAAAATCAAGGAGTCTTCTAAAAACACTTCACACTTGCCTTTATCATAAAGCTGTATCAGAACTATTCATTTCTGCATTGAGAAAATATCCTGCAACAAAACTCCATGCAATTTACACAACGTACTTTGAGTATGCAAAAAATGTTTATAAACCTTGAAACACAAGGACCTTTAGGCTTCTTGAATAAACAATAAATTCCTGAATAAACAACTTACCAAATTCCTTATGATTAAAAAGATTTTAAAAGCATTTCAGAAATATTGCAGATATGGTCAACATACAAGTTGCTTGCCTCATTCACTGCCCTCAAAAGTGGAAGTGCCATAAGAGCCCTCAGGAAGGCCTTAAAATTGTTATGGTCTTATGTCCTACTCACATGGATCATCTTCATGTGACAGACCTGTGTGTGGGCTGAGAAACTATGTATCAACCTTGTAACTGTCTTCAAATGCAGCTGTTTGTCAAGGTTTTATACTTGCACAATCATTAATGAGCAAAACATTACTTAATCTCAAATGCATAACAATACAAGTCTGAGGCCATCATTGTAAAATCTGAAGTCCTAAGAATTCTAGCAAAACATCTGTTATTTTTACATCCCCAGTTTTACACTTTTGCTCCTTCAATGCCACTTTTCACTGCCCAATTCTTAAAAACAAACAAACAAACAAAAAAACCCCACATTTTTTCTTCTGCCTTTCTTGGAGTCAGAATAAATCCAGAAGTTAATTTGAAAGAAAAAACCTGGGGTAACTACTGTGAGGCAGTAGATTTTTATTTTTTTTAAAGCAAAACAGCTGTTGAATATTAATAAATCCAGGGAAGAATGTCAAATGATAAATCCAGCTGGTAATAATCGCTCATAGAAAAGAAGAAGGGAAACACATTCTAGTATTAGTAAGAATACCTTATCCAAGACATTCTGAAGAACAGCTAGTACAATTCACCCTAAAATATTCCACAGCAAAATGCAATCTTACAGCCAGTCCCAGGTCTGCAGAGCAAACCAAGAGCAGGCAGTATTTCTTATTCATACAGTTCTTAGGTAGCTATTTATCTGTTAATTCAAATCTATAATGTGATAATTAAAATTGTTTGAATGCCTGAAAAAGCACCTTAACATCAACTTCAAGCATGCCTAACTGTTTATTTCTTTAAAGAAATATGCTTTTTTGAGAACAAAATCACTTCTCACTGTTCAAATCCTCAAGTCCTCCAGAGCATCTTTTCAAAATTTTCCTATTTTTATGAGGGCCACACAGTCCTGATAGGCAAATCATGCAAAAGATTCATTTGGTTAAATATAGCAGGCTTTTTTTCGTCCCATAAGGGTGAAGCAGCAGAGCAGGACATGGTTTGTTTCAATATCCTACTGGAACAGCCCTAGGCAACCTGCACAGGCCTCACAGCTGATCCTGTCCTGAAG